TCCGGAAACATTGCCTACCGACCTTTACTGCCACACAGTCAGGTGAATATGATTTTTGCTGTTAGTAGTAGATTTAAGGTTTTGCGAGAGGATGTTGGATAGGTAAGATCGGAGCACAGATTACTTAGTAGTATTTCAAAACGGTTGCCGCATGTTTTCATATTCTAACTTTCTGCTTTAAAATAAGCTGCGAAAAGAATCGAGAACTGTGTATTTCTGCTGAGGACAGTTTTTAATATCCACTTCTAAGTCATCCTGGTAACTTGTGATTTCCAGCTTAATATACTTTGTGGGCAACAAATTTTGTCACACTTCTAAGAAGTTGCTGCTTGCAAAGGTAGATGCTTTGTAAACTTTGCCTAAAATAACTTATTTAAAACTGTGATGTTAAACAACGTTCTCAAGCCTTGCTTTCTTTACCTGCTTTTCAGTCCCTGATTTCTATCAGAGTTGACTTACTATAAACAGACGTTTCAAGTTGCCTGTTTTTTTTTTTTTTTTTTTTTAAATGGATGAGAGCTGCATTGCTTTTTTGGAGCGGTGTTCCTTGGGCCTTTTCAAATCTAAGAATGTGCGTTAGTTAAATCGATGGGAATTGGAGAAGCATGGGAAGGGATCTGTCTTCAAGAATGAAGTTAATAATAGTAATGTTTGTGTGCCTGTAGTAATATGCTTCGGATTTTCCTGTAAAGAGGTGTGGATTGTGCTTGTTTGCCTTATGCTATATAAAAGAATTCATGATAATAAATACCAACATACACCTGCTATTCCAGGTATCCTGCAGGTGAAATCTATGTAGTGGATGGAAGGGAAGAGACTTGAAAATTTGTAATTTGTCTGTAATGCACATACTGGATGACCCTTTAAGGGGGGAAAAAAAAGGTCTTTGTTATGAGGACTAAAACTCTCCTAGCAAAAGGAGAGTGGTGCAGCTCCTAATCTAGTTATGCTTCCTCAGTAAGGCAAAGCAAAAACAAAAAACAGAACTATCTGGTGAAGATCTGAACTATCTGTGGTAAAGATCACATTGATGTAAAAATAAAAATGAGACCACTGTGTGCTTTGTAAGGCACAGGTAAGTTAAATCTCCTTAAAATCTATCAGAAATAACAATCTCAATATTTTGGTGGAAGACGAAGGGGAAGGGTCAAGATGACTGTGTGTCACATCTCTCCTTCACCGAGAAACTTAAAGGTGACCTTACATTACGTACAGGTTGCCACACTCGCACTGAAGTAACAAAAGTATTAATTAACACTTCTGGAGAATTTGTCCAAAGCTTGCATGTAGAACAAGTTAGCACAGCATTACCTGTATTTAGCTCACGATTTCTGATGCGACTGCAAGGAGTAAAAACCAACAGTCTTAGCAATGTTAGCTGAATTCTAAACTTGAAAGTGATATTTGTTAGCATAATTGGAGCTGAGGCTGAACTGCGATTAGAAACGGCGAGTTGCCACTCAAATTTCAAAGGGATGTACTGGTACAAAGACGACTGTATCAAGTTGTAATTGCTTCATGTTAATTTTACTTAGTGGTAATTCATGTTTTTCCCCCATTTCTCTTCTAAAAAAGCAGACGCTTATGAAGGAAAATATTAAAACTAGGTTAATGCTGTTGTATTATGCTGTAGTGTTCTCTCTTGTGGAAGGTAGTAGCGATTGCGTTGTCGGAAAAGATGCATTAGACTCTTCATTTTGGTCAGTGATAAGCCTTCCTCCCCTTCACCTGCACGTGTAAAAAAAAAATATTATGTTACTACCAAAAGCAGCTTCAAGAGGAGAAGCATAAGCGCTTGCTGAATTAAATGTTATTGGAAAAGGTAGGATTTAAATGTCTGGCATAACGATAATCTAAAACAGTGCTTGAAATCCTGCTACCGAAGTTAACTGCAGTTGGTGGATTTGAAGAGCTATTTGTAACTTGCAGCATTCCTCTTGCTGATTAGAAGCCTACAAAGCTGTACTCGTCTGTTTGAGCTGGAATTTGGGAAGTATGGTGAGTGAGATTGAGGTTAACCCCTCTTTTCCTGAATGTTGTGGAGCTTCTGACATTAACTTCAAGCTTTCACTTTTATGTATGACCCTTGATAAAGGGGGCTTTGGCTGGTTTTGATGAGCTGAATTGAAAACTGTATGACGCTTTGCCTCAGAAGCTTCATAAATGGAGAAGTTACTGCGTAAAGATGACAATATAGGGAACTGTTCTAACTTTTATTAAATAGTTTTGTAAATGCACAGAAAAACAATAATTGATCATTTTTGTTTTCTTGAGGATATGATTCCTGTCCCTGTGCATACTTTATATAAAGTCAGTCTGCTTTATCCTGTCAAAAGATAGAGTAGTACACATTGTGGTTTTCACTATGAAAGTGACTTTGCTCATCTACATAACTGTGTGAGATTTGTAAAGTCTAGAGAGCTAACCTTCTTCTGTAACTCGTGTCATTTTTTTGTATTCTGCAGGATCAAAACCCTTCTGCTAATGTTCCTCGTGTTCCTGTTTCTGTCCCGGGCCCTGGCATTGGTGCCCAGCCTCCCACAGTGTCCATGGCAGGTAACCACAGCAACACCCCGTATCTCAGCAATCAGCAGCAAGCAGCAGTGATGAAGCAACACCAAATGCTGATGGACCAGCAGAAGCAAAGGGAGCAGCAACAAAAGCACTTGCTCATGGAGCAACAGAAGCAGCAGTTCTTAATGGGGCAGAGACAGCAACATCTTCTAGCTGAGCAGGTAAGAGGAGCCAGTCTTTTGTCTTTGCACTGATTTACTTTGGTGGACTGAAGTTGCACTTGAAATCTTGCAGGACAGTTATCACCTTGCAAAAGAAGGGATGTAAGCTACAAGGCATTTTGGTATCATAAAAGTAATTGCTGTTTTGCATGTCTATGTAAAAGTATCCCAAATACATTTAACTGCTATGGCTTAGTTTTTCTGCGATTACAAGGCTCGGTTGTGAATGAAGAGTGTAAGACAGGTGGAATTTAGCAGTGCGGGAACGCAAGACAATAACTACAGGGAGAGAAGGTATCTTAACAGTGATGGTGTGATTCTTTGTGGAGGAAGACAGGCAAATGAAATGAGAGCAAAATAAAAGACAAGATTGGGATACTGTTGATATGTTTCCAGAGCCCTAAAAGTAGGAGCAAAGAGTATAGATGGACTCTATCTATAAGCTGAATATGCTTTCTGCCTTTCTTCTGTGCGAGTGCCACAGCAGTTATATTTCAAATTTTGAAGTGTCTTTTGTTTGTTTTTTGGGGGGGGAAATTTATTAACCAACTAATTAACTCTGGTACCCTTCAGACTGTGCAGAAAGGTGCTTTCATGTCTCTCGGAAACAGCCTCCTTGTGTGAACCTATCTAAGCAAGTCTTTCAGCTAGAAATCAGCCCAGAGGGCCTTAATTCTCATTATCTGTGCTTTTCTGCGTCCTTGAAAAAGCCCATACAGGCCTGTTCAGCTAGTATATGTACAAAGAAATTACGAGCATCTAGTATGGAGGAAATGGGAAATTAATTTCCAAAGAAATGTGAGACGCAGCGAGAACCTGCTGTTCACATCTTCTGGGGGAAAAAAAAAAAGCAGTGATCTGTACTGCTGAAAAGTGTTGCCTTTGAGGATAATGAAGAAAAGAGCCAGTGATTTGAAGAGAAGCCAGTGAACTGTGTATATGTCTAAGAATTAAAAAAAAAAAAAAAGTACATTGAAATGCTCTGGAGTCCTTCAAATAAGAACTGTTGGACATATGTCATTTCCGTAGTTTAAAGCACTGTTAGAAGCTGAGAAACTTAAACATATTCAGCTTTTAAAGCTGGGAGTTGTCCTGGTAGGTAGGATTTTCACTGTGATAATAGTGTGGAAAATAGAGCTGGAGAGAGAAGGTCAGGTAACGATTATTGAAAAAAGTTAGCTTTTATTGAGGCAACTGTCTATCAGAAGCTTTATTTAAGAGAGGAGGAAATGACACTCTCTCCTGCAGGCTGAAAATATATGTGAAATCTTGAATGAGGAGAGCCTGCAGTATTGTGAGACTATAGTTATGACAAGTCATGGCTAATCTCTTTTTTGACCACGTGTGATACTTTGGTTAGAACTAAGACTAGATTAAGCACTGTTGCTCCTTTGGAGCCAGAAAAGCCCCTTCAGTTCTTGACCCAGTGTAGGTAAAACAGGAGACTGCAGTTGCCAGTGCTTTATCGTTAGCCATACGTTTACTTTCATTAAAAATGCGTGCTACAGACGGAGCTAAAGCAATATTGTGGTGGAAAAAATATTGCACGGTGTGGTGTGAATACACTGTCAAAGTCTGTGAAAGACAAAGAACGCCCAAATCATCACTGAGCTCAGATTTACTGTATGGTTTCTGTATCATATATTAACTCATTTATAAATCCAGCACTTTCTTTTTAGGAAATCGTTCAGTTCTTTGGTGCTTTGTATGTTAATATCAGATGATAAAAATTACTAGTGTTTGTACTCTCCCAAAATGTGGACAAACGGCTGTTCTTTGAAAGATGGTGCGGAGAGAGGAAAGACGGGATGTTGGCATCCTGTTTGTATTTGTGTGGTACTAATGAATTGGTGATGTGCAATGTCTAGTTGAGCTGTGACTCAGTAACAAGTTTCTTAGCTATGTAATGGACTTAGTTTGATACTGTTATCAAACTTCTTCATATCAGAGCTCTTAACAGAAGGGTGGTGTATTAATGAGGTGATAAGTGACATCTCGAACATAGTGTTGAAATTTTTTTTTCTTCCTATTTCCTGCCTCTTAGCCAGAAATACAGTATGTGTTCCTACTATAGCAAATATTGGTGGTATTAAAACACAATTTCTGCCCTAGTTACGATGACTACAATTGACTTGTATCTTTGTACAGTGATGCTGGGACTTTGAACCCAAATGAAGGAGCAGCTTTGCTTTGGTGCTCTTTGCTGGTCAGACTTGGAGACTGCATTTGTGACGTTTCTCGGTCTCGAGCTGCCCAGTCACCCTAGATCGTGTTGGCGTTCTAATTTGATATTTAGTTCTTCAGATGCGTATGATAGCAGAAGTAGTTTTACAAAAAGGCTTCCGAAACAATCGGTCTCTATTTTGCAAGAGAACTGTAGTTTCCAGTGACTTCGGTGCCATTCCCTGCTACTCTAAAGTTTTCTTCACGTTTGCTGTTCTGCATCCTTTTTTGCTGAGCCAGACGTGTCAAGCTCATGGTTTTTCGTAGAACTGTGGCATCTCTCCCTGGCTTCTGCGGTCAGCCTCTTTCAGGTTTGGCTGGTCCCGCGGGTGGCAGGTCCTTTCTTTCAAGGAGCCTGCGCTCTTCGTTCCTCTGCGTGTGTCAACAGCTTCTTAGCTGTAGACGTTTCAAAAGAATGGTAGGGACGTGTGTCTGCCTATTTGCTACGTTGTGCTAGCCTCTTCTTTAAAGGCTTATTACTTGCTCCTTTGCCACCATACCCTTGGAAGGGAGTTTGTCCCCCTCTATGCCCTGTGCAGCCTTTTAGATAAGTAGGCAATTGAGCATTGCATCACTTCTTAGTTCTCCCAGAACAGTCTGATTTAACCTCATCTCTGGAATAAAAGTTGGAAACTCTACCCCTTATATGTGTCACATTGTAAAAGCAGCCTTTTGGCTGTTTAACAGTGCAGTAAGAGATCTTGGTGAAGTAGTGCGTGTACGTACACATGCATTCTCTTCTCTCTTCCTTTCCCCAAAGGCTTAAAATTTCCTTTTAGCCCCAAAACCTTCTTTATAGAAGGTTTACTTGTTTTGTTTTTCTGATAGATACAGCCTAACTTAGGTATAGGTTGGAGACCTCTTTGAAGAGGCAAAATTATTTATTTGGAATCATTGTTAGACTTTGTTTCAAGTGAATTAGTGAATCGTTAACAAAATGTTTTTAAACAGTGATTACAAATCTGATACAGCTTCTGTTAAAACTTTTAATTGTGAAGTTAGCCATAATCGTCTAGGAAAACCTGTAGTGTATAATAATTTGGGTTTGTATTTTGTTTTTTTGAAAACAAAGGCTAGAAAATATTTACATCTTCATTTTTTTTTACTTTTGTTTATAACAGCATTTATATTTTTGACTTGTAATTTTTTTTAGGTATCTCATTAAAATTGGTATGGGGGCATGGAGCAAAAAGTATGTTTGAATTTTTTATACGTGCTTGCTTTTGTTCTCTCGCTTTTGTACCAGTTAGCGTCTTTAGAGGATTTCTGAAAATATCTGTTGAATATATTACTGATGGAAAGAGTAACATCCCTGATTTCAGTGTTTTGAAGGACTTGGACATGCATTGCAATAGCTTCTGTAATGCACGCTGTTGTCATCTTGTCTCCGAGTTCCTAGTTTTGTCCTTTATCAGGCTAAATTGACTGTTTGAACCTTGAGAACCGACTACCTTCTGAATTGACTTTTAGTGCCGCTGGAGCCCCTGTAATTACCAGCTCCGCATAAAAGATAGCTTGATCCTTACCTAAGAGAGTCACCCTTGGAAAACGCTTGACTTGTTTTCCAATTCTCATATATTGGACCTCTCCTAGGAGAAACAGCGGCATCAGCAAGAGCAACAGCTGCAGCGGCACCTGACTCGACCACCTCCTCAGTATCAGGATCAGCCACAGAATCCTTACCAGCAACAGGTTGGACAGGGGAGGGGGGGGGGGGGGGGAAGGAAGCTATATACATGCGTATGTATAAGGAATAAAAGCAATGTGTCTTCAAAGTTCCTGAACTAGATAGCTTTTAATTAATTTAAATACATCATCTTCCTGTGTTGCTATGCCTTAATGTTTTGAGCTATACCATGATTCAGTTAAAAACTATCAACCTCCTTTGTCCCAAGTACCTTGCTTAGGTGAACTTACACCTCCAAATCTTTAATATTGCTTTGGAAATGGACAAAATTCTTAAGTACCTTAATTTTTCTAAAGGTCGTCTTATATTCCCCCCCCCCTTCCTTTTACAGGCTGTAAATTCTCCTTAACTTTCCTGCATTTGTGTGATGTTAGGATTCATGTTTTTCTGAAACCTAACATCTCTTCTGCTTGTATTTACCACAGGCCCTCATTAACAAAAAACACATGATTGACTTCCTTCACCTACCAGGATGAATTTCAAACTCTATTTTTACCCCTGCTATATTTAGAGGGGAATACAAGTTCTAATTCCCTTCGTTACATATGGGTATCCTGTGTGGGTTTTTTGTAGAAGAAATTTGCAGCGTCTTCAATGTGCTAACACTGATAAATAAAAAGTGTTACCATTAAGCTGAAATAGAATCATGAATGCGGAAGAACTAGAGAGCAGTTTAAAAAAAAAAAAAAACAACAACAAAGAACAAAAAACACTAATCTCCTTACCTGACAAATCCTTACCTAACGGTGCCCAGAAGCTGCTGCTTACTCTTTTTCTGAATAAACCAAAAGCACAGAAAATGTGCTCATTGCCTTGCTCTTATATTCCCCAAAAAGTTAACTCTGAAGGGCAAGGATGCAAGTAGATGCATAACCTCATTCTTAGTGTTCATGACTATGCAGCGCCTAGTAGAGCTATGACTGGGTTTTGTTACTTAACTGAGAAAACTTGATTACCAATACAAAAGGATCATGTTTTAGCAATGATAAGTCGCATCCATCAGACATTGCACTAAAATATTTTTTTCTGTCAGCTTTTCTACAGAAGTACAGCAGTAGAGCTGTTAGAATACATGTTGCCATAAAGAATGTCAACATTATTTAAAAAGTTTTTCCTGGTCATAATGACTATAACTTTTCTTTGCATCTCAAATCCTGGTATGTGTGCTTCCTCTTCCTGTACCATTCCAGTAAGACTCCTTTTTCTTTTCTGTAACACTGTTGCTTTTATGGTGTGCTTTAACTAGTATAAATCAGTGAAGAGCTAACATTCTTCACTTCTCTTAAAATACCAAAATTCTGCAGATGGAAAGAGAAAGTACTAGTGCAGGTAAGTTTCCCTTAATTGACACTAAGGTATGTGTGGTTGTGGATAGGTGCATTTTAGTTCAGTATTTTTTTTTTTTGTTTGACAAAGAGTTGACAAGGGCTAAGGTCTTTTGGTGTCTTTTTGGTTTGCTGAGAGGGCTTATTTTTGCAAATCATCCTGTTTGATTATCAGTCTTTGCATATTAACGTAGTGAATGTTTCACCGTGGAAGTCCTAAAGATACATGACAAAAAATTGCTGAAAGTTATACAGAGTAGAAGAACTTTCTGGATTTATGAAAGCGTAGGACTGGAATACCACCATGGTACAATATGAGATACATGCTGTATGCACAGAATAACTGACAACGGATGTGCAGTAAGTGATTTGATTTTTTTTTTTTTTTAAGAGCCTGGTATATTGAGCCTGCACTTTGAAGTATATGTGTATGCTTCTGTTCAGAAGGAAATATTGGGGTCCTGTCTTTAAATCCTTTTTTTCAGAATGATGTTGAACTCACGGAAGTGGCATTCATATTTTTTCACAGTGGCAGTCATATCTGTGTTTGAGATCAAGGTGGAGGCGCTAACTTGGGCAGCAATTTACACTTTTTGTTTTCTTTGATTGAATTACTGCTGTCTCTCAGTTCCATAAATTGGTCTATATAAATGCAGCTGTACCTCCTTTCTTCCTCTCTGGAGTATAGGGTCAACAGGCCTAGACTGGCTCTGGTTGAACCAAGATACTTAATGTACAAAACGTTTTTTTTGTATTTCAGGGTCATCTTCAGCCATGCCTGGGGTAAGTAATTTAGGACAGTCCAACTCGAGTAGTCCACGGATGTTTCCTCAGACCCAGAACATGATCCAGATGGGACCTGGGCACAGTTCTGTTCCTCCACTCCAGTCAGGCTCCAGTCAGCAGGATCGGGGTGTGACTCAGTATAACAGTATGCAAAACATGCAGCGAGGGGGATTGTACAACTTGGCATCTGGTATGACACAGATGGTTCCACAGCATGCAGCTCAAAGTGCCAACGGACAGCCACCAATGCAGAGACAAGGCAGCTTGGGTCAGAGTGCTGCTGTTCCTGCTGGGTATGGGCAGAATACCTTAGCAAACTCAAGTATTTCTCAGCAGCACAGTAAAGGTGCACTGAATGCAACTTTATCTAAGCCACAGATGGCAAGAGTACCAGCTGCTATGGGGGCTCAAAATCCATCTTGGCAACACCAAGGTATCCCTAATATTAACAGTCAGACACAAGGAAACAGTGGCTTAGGACCATTTACTGCCAGCTCCTCTTTCCACATGCAACAAAGTCATCTAAAGATGGCCAACCAACAGTTTGCTCAAGGAATGCCTCAGGTAAGCCTAAGCACCAGCAGACCGATGACCTCTATGAATGCTGCTGTCTCTGGGCAGATGTTGTCGTCGTCTTTAGGCGCACAGCAGCGGACAAACCCACCTACGCAGCAGCAGGTACCCTCACAGCAAGTCTTGCCTGGCATGAACCAGACTGTTCCAGATCTGACTGCTTTCAACCAGAATCCCAATCAGCAACTGCCCAATAGAGGTAATCTGCACTGTAGCCAAGGGTACCCTGTGAGGACAACCAGTCAAGAGCTGCCTTTTGCCTACAGCAGCCAGTCGGGCAATAACGGACTTCAGAACTTAACTGGTGACACAGATCTGATAGACTCTTTGCTGAAAAACAGGACTTCAGAGGAGTGGATGAATGATTTGGATGAGTTGTTAGGAACTCATTAAAATGGGGCTGGGGGGGGGTTACTTTTTTTTTTTTTAATTATTTCATGGAATACAAACAACACTTGGACCAAAAATCCTGTGGCATTGAGGAGACTTGCAGGCATTAGAGGTAAATGGTTGGGAAAGGGACTGGAGCTGCTTCTCAATGAACGTTGATATATGGTATGGCGCACCCAAGCAGATCTGCAGGAATAGTATGTTTTATCTCGATGTCTCTAGGTCGTCGCACATCTGAGCAGGTCAAACAGAATTGTGTGTGTCCTGGCCAGCCTTTCAGAAATCTCACTTGCAGTGTTCTGAAATTATTATTTTTTTAATTATTTAAAGGTAAAATTCCACAGAAGTAGTTCAGAAAGAAAGCAAATAGTTGCACAAATTGTGGTTAGGGCTTAGTCTCCCGCAGCTGTTACTTGCGATCATTATTGTTCATAGCTTGACATGCTAGTACAGTAATTTCCATCAAACTTCTGACTTTTTTATTTGAGAAGAGGGTATATGCAACTGAGTATGCTTGCAAGATGTTTTGAATTGTTTCTTTTTTCCATCGCTGAAGCATGTGCCTGTACTCTCAATAAGCAAGTGATATTTCACAGTAAATGTTTCTAGATGCTGGTGATAGATGAAAGAAAGTATTAAAACCTGGCTAGTTAGCCTAGGTAGTCTTCTTAATAGATTGTAGTCTTTTAAGCTGCAGTTTGCACTCTGTTTTAGAGGGGCACAGTTCTTGGCTTATACCTTGCTGTGTTTAAAGGGGGAATTTCTTATGGGAGAACTTTTAAACTATAGTAGGTTTAACATGAATTGTAAAGCCATTTACTTTGCACCTGTTTCTTGATAACTTATTTCCAAAGGTAGTTGTATTTAAATGAAGGCTTTGCTTCATGACAGTTCATCTTGTTGTTTCTTTGTTTTAAAAAGTAAACTAAGTTTTGAGATCAGTTCATGCCCAAAAGTTACCAGTGACATCACGAGCACGAGAGTTTGTCACTTCAGGATAAAATGAGAAAAAAAGGATTTGACTGAGAGGTGAAAAGTCCTTATCAGCAATGACAGCACAGGCAGCCTGGGAGTATTTGTTATCAGGATTGCTCCAACATGGAAGTCTTCCCCCTTTAAATACCTTTTTTGTAATACTGGGTTATGAGTTTGATAATCTTTCTTATTGACAGGTGGGTTTACTTCTTTAATATCCCTTAAAGCAGATGCTGGTTCTTCAGCTCAGCCCAAGGAGACCCTCTCCCTCACGTGTTGGGGTCAGTCCCAGAAAGGACAAAAACACAGTGGGAACAGTCAGTGTTCCAAAGTCCTTATTTTCTACCAAAAAATCCCCTATCCACCAACAAACCACCTTGCCTTAACGTTTATTTTAAAACAAAAATAAAGTTGAAAGCTTTTGTTTTAAATGCACAAATACCTCTTCCCTTAAATGCATTTTTTTGAAAACTCCTTTAAATTTTCTAACCAAACTTAGCATTGTGATTTTTAAAGCAATTTCCTTCAACACAGACTGGTTTCTTCAGGAGTTTTCTGCGCTGCAGAGAAGTGCTGAGAGAGGATTTGTTGTTGCTGGGTGTGGTTTTTTTTTTTTTTTTTTTTCCAGAATGGGAGAGAGGAAGTGAAGGATAACATGGAATTTGAAGAAGGAAAATATTTTACTGTATCTGCAGCTTCTTTATCAGACAATTTGCACTTTTAAAAACTGCTTTTTAACACTAATATTTTAACTCTTTCCAAATATGCATGGAACATCGTTTGCCCTACACACTTACCTAGTGTGGATTAGTTATGCTCTGTTAAACAGATTTGATATTGTATCATGGTGAACTGTTGGTGAAAAATATGCATTGATCAGTGGATCCCACCATTGAATAGTGGACTTCACTGAAGCAGGCTTAATCCCTCGTAGAGCTTTTGGAAAGATAACATAGTTTGTCTTTGGATGGGAAGACGAAGGTGTTAGTGACTTTAGTTGTTGACACTCTTCTGATATTTTCTAGAATAAGTAGTTGATATGCAAATAACTGATGTTAACTTTTCTTATACTGGCAATCTAAGAAAAGAGCTAGTGAGTTTGGTTTACTATTAAGTTAAGCCAAAAACTGGTCCAAGGTAAGTATCTTTAGAAGAATATAGATAAACTAGCAATGGCAGGGGGAGGAGTATTTGCTGTATTTTTATTTTTAGGGTTAACTTTGCACCAGTGTGCCTTCCCTTCCTTTTGGGGGTGCTTGGGACCTCATAATTTCAGGTGGCATCCTGTAGTGTCACTTTTTTCCTCCCCCTTACAAACCCTTCAGAGAAATAACAGGGTAGCAGGACTCAGATTTTCTTTCTTCCCTGTTTAGATTGTGGTGAAATCTGCTACATTCTCCAGTAGATTTTGTGCACAGGCTATATTTCTGAATAAGTCAAAATAAAATCCATCCGGTTTTGGTTTCATAATGGAGGGAAAGAACATCTGCTGTTTGCATTATTACTACCAAAAAGGCAGTCCAGCTAACTATCCAGGAAAATGCAGATGTACTTTCCTCCACTGTTTCTGGAAGTTAAGGTGGATATTGCTCTGCTTGACCAGAGGATTTGTTCAGGAAGGTATCTGGATTTGATGACAGGGCCCTGTCTGTAGTGGCCATGGTACTGTTGAACTAAAGTTAAGTGCGATTGTAGGCAAACTGGCTTGTAATGCCCATTGGTCTTTGAATGTGAACAGGATCCTGACAGCATTTAACCTGGTAGGGAAAAAAAAAAAAAAAAAAAAAAACAGCCCTTCTGTGTTTGGTCCCTGTCCACGTAATATGATCAAACCGTTAAAAATACGGTATCACTGTAACAATGTTGAAACAGTTCAATAGAAATAAAAATACGGTTTAGATGTACATAGGTGCGTGGGTAGGGCTGGGCTTTGCCTTTATGCCCTCTCACATGTAGCTGTCTGTATATGCACTTGGGCTTTCCATTTGCTGCAGCTTCAGAGCAATAAAACGTAGCTCCCCTGAACTTTACCTAGCCAGCCGCCCATGGCTTTATTTATAAACTGCGGTTTTGGTTGGGTAGGAAAGGTGAGAGTGTCACTGTGCAACATCCACTGCCTTCCAAAAACCACGATTCAATTGAAAAGGGTGCTCAAAATTTTGTTATACACATTTCCTTTGTGTAAATAAATGTTTACAATTTTATATTAAAGATTTGAATAAGAGTTAGATCTTCTGACTGTATATTTTTTACTTTTTATAGATTTTAAAACTATAATTCTTTATATATGTGTTTGGGGGGGTATTATGGTAAGTTTTATGCTTGTAAATGGAGAACAGTTGAATTTGCTAACCTTTATGAATTTTTGTCATTGAAATGTATAAAGAGTCCATTAATCCCCTTATTCTTTTACTACAATTACTGGTGCACACCAAAAAAATCCTTCACTTCTGTTTTATCATTATAAAATAAATATTTTGCTAGTGTATTAAACTTACATGGTGTGACTTTATACCTTTGTGTAAACTGAGCAGAGTTCTGCGTGGTTGTTCCTAGTGAGATGGCTTCCTTCATCCTAATACAGAGTTCTGGTCAGCCAGTTACTTAAATTCTTCTGCCGTGTCTTACCAATTTTTATGATTTCAAAAAGTCCATTTAAACAGGGCAATACTGGATTAAAAGATAGGCTTTAGAAAGCTTTATTTTGAAAACAAGGCTTAACTTTTAAGCCATAGCCGCTGTTTCTCGACTGCTGTCTCTTTTAATGCAATTAAGGCTGTTAAGCTAGGGAATATGGCTGCAGAGGGTACTGTTATTAAGCATTACTTTTATTTCTAAATTTGGATGTGAAAAAGATATCAACAGTTTCTCAGAGCTCACATGTGCAAAAACACAGATTAAATAGTTCCAAAAATATGCTCAAATTCCCTCAAAAATAACAGGCCTTAAAAGTTCAAATTTATTTCCATGAGACTTGCAAAAAGGCAAAGATAATGTTTGGTTTGAAGTAAACACATTGCACAAAAAAGGAGGAATGAGGCCCTACAAGCATAGGTCCGTGTTTCTGAACAAGAACCAAAATATACGGCAGCAAGATGCATGAAGATTTTGGCTTAAAGTTGACATGTGACGATCACTAAGTCACTACGTAGGGTTGACTGGTTGAAGAAGCTGTGGAAAAATTGTGCCAAAATATCTTTCAGACCTTGTTAGATTGTTGAGCCTCTGTTAAGAGAGAGCTTGTGTATGTTGGTTAGAATAGAAGTTAAGCAGAAGTTTGGCTCCATCGGTGTCCAAAAGACTCTAGCTTCCCTGCTGTGAGTTTGGATGTTAGTATGTTCTTGTTGTTATCAAGTATTCATTAATTTAATACTTGATGAATTATGCCAATGAATTGGACATTTCAAAGCAGTTTTCTTAACAGTGAATCACATCACTCAGAGCAGAACTAAAAATTCTTTTTTTAATGTAGCATTTCCTGTTTGTCAAGTGTGCCTTTTGACTGATTAGATCTAGCCTACTGAAGTTCTGAACTGACATCTTAAATATCTCTCTCCAACCACAGATTTAGCAATAGTGATAAAGAAAAATTTGCAAAGTGTGACTGTGTTTCTTGCTAAGGTTGTATTCATCTTACATGTTAGAGCAACTGCAGACATCCTTCTATATGGTAAGAATTTTATCAGCCTCAAGCACTGAAAGATCATTCCCCAAGCCTTGAACTCTGAAGTGTGTTATTGTATGGCTATTGTGTTTAAAGCCCCATCTTAGAGACCTCAGACTTTTTCACAAAGTGCTCCCTGAATTGCTTGAGTGTATTTCCTGCTCCTTTACAAGTTTTGAGTTGTGTTTGCAGGGAGGAGGGGGAATGCAACCTCAGAGGCTTAGAAAGAATCAAATGCAGTAAAAAGTTAAAACAGTAGTACCATGGTTGCCACTTGTTGCTTATGGAGACTGTTAAGTTATTTTAACTTTTGCTTTATTGTCCCATTAAAGGTGTTAAGTTTTATTTAAAGTTGAGTAAAATGGAAACTTCCCAAAGCATCAGCACGTACGTTTTCACATGCATGTTTTTCCAAAGACTTTAAGGAGTCCGTGTCAGCCTGTGTTCAACCTCTGCTCTGAAGCTAACCTCCCTCCTTATTTTGTTTTTCTCCCCACTCTTGATGTAGTGATTTTTCCAGAGGCTAATACAAATCTGTAACATAAGTGATTCCTAGAGCTTGACCTGGTTGTTGAAATGGTGTAAGCAGAAGCGTACTCTCGGTGACGTTTCCCCTCTGACTTTCATATTGGAGACCTCAAATGAAAATCTTGGGTTGCCAATAGATTTCATTAAATAGAAATACAAAGTTAACCTCCAGCCTGGGTCTGCTGGCAGACTGGAGGGACAAAAGCTGTATTGCATGAGTGTTCTGCCGAGGTAGGGAGTGATTTGCTCTCCTACCCAGGTGTTTTACAAAATATGTACAATTGTTTGTTTGAATTAACTGGAAAGATTTTGACTTGATAAGGTGTCACAGTGGGATTTTTGAGGAGATGAAGGTCTAAAGTAGAAGTAAAACTTCCAGCATCCTGCTCAAGAGAAACTGCAGGTCTCTTCTTTTCTTGCTGGTACTGTGTACAAATTCTGTATTGAGATGACTGTGTTTGTGTGTCTATAGAGAGAGAGAATCGGAGAGAAATGCAGTGGCTGAAGCAGATCTTGTTCCCTCTCCACCCAAATTAAGGAAGACAGTTGACAGAGTAATAATACATTTTTCTCCTTTTTGGATCCAAAAACTTTGAAATCAGACAAGTCTTTTATTTACATGCCATGTTTTGGAGTGAGTTATGCTAACGTTTTAACTAATAAATATCTTGCCTTTGTGGACTAGTGAGAAGAGGTATTCGGGGCTAAGATATTTCCGTTTTTCGAGCTTTAGATTTTACAGTCTAATTTCAGTCTGATGTCTGTTTAACCTTTCCGAAGGTCAGCTTGTTTCTACATCCTATGCATGCCATCTATCCTGGTCTAAAAACTGTGTTCTGTCTTTTAGCCAGGAAAATGTTTGTTTTGCAGGATTTGAAAGCCCTAGCAAACTGCAAAAAGTGACTGAGCACTACACAAGGCCTGTCCTCTATTTGGTAAACTTACAGTAGCAGTTAAGTGGCTAAACACCTGAATGCTTTCTAAAAAAAAAAATTAGAATCCGGTAACAATTAAATTATTGTAGCTAAAGTATAGAAGATCTTTCGCATGTCAACTGTAGTACTCAGATTAAGAGGGGAAGCACTGATTTGCAAAGCTGCCTTTTTTTTTGTTTTGTTTTGTTTACAATCTCGCACATAACTGAGATGCTTTAGAACTGATTAAAGCTAATAATAAAAGGGTTGGAAAAATCCCCATCATATTTGAATTGCCAGTAATACTTAAGTCATTCTGACTTGGTAGAAAATCTGTAAATAAAATTGCAGGGGCTTCCAGTTGTGGTGCGCGCAGAAAACTTCTGCTGTTACATAGTTCAGCAAAAAATATTTAGCTCTAATCAAATTTTTTGGATGGCTGGCTCTGCTGGAAAATTGTTCTGTGGCGTGGGGAGGGTTAACATTGTGGAGGAAACACGTGCTGCTGCAGCACAGTAAGAAGGTTGGGTTGCAGAGTGGAGTGAGGGAGAGGGAAATAGAGAGCAGCCCTACGCTCATTACGCTGGACTAGTTTGTTGGTCCACAGTCAGTACGGAGCAACATGAGAAATCAGATAGACCTGCTCGCCGCTGTCACTGTTCTGGGAGTCCTGGAGCAAGGTAAATGTCCTTTATATAAACTACATAGTATTAAGCTAATTGTATTAAACTTTGTGGCACTTAGTTCCTGTATTGTGCTTTTAGTCTCCGGGAATGAAAATTGCTGTTGTCCAGCATGGTAAATAACGCAAATTGTTTGACCCTTCCATATGGAGGTGTTATGCATGAGGAAGTTCATTACTTAATAGGGGCTAAAATGATTTGCAAACCTCAAAGCCTGCACCCTAGAAGGAAGTGAAAGTTAAATTTTACTTTTAAACTTAGAATAATTCCGACAATTGAATGTTTTTAAGGTGAAATATTTTCTGTGATTGAGTTTCAGCAGGCAATTCATAATATTTCAAGTTACTGCAGTAGCCAAAATCAAGGCCAGCTTGGTGAGGACATTCTCTTACAGTTGGCTGTATTGATGGAAAGGCAGTGCGCAAATGCATGTGTGGACATAAATCATTTGTGACAAGAATGTATATGGAAAAGAGGTTAAAGTACTCAGGTATTTCTTCCCTGTGCCCGATATATATTTGATTCATGTAACTTAGTTGTGCTGAGCAGATGACAAATAAGATGCCCTGTGACAGCTCAAAGTAATTTGGAAACTAATACGTTGATTTGGCGTGGTACGTTAGTTCAAACATTGTGTTACAAAGCTGCACGCTGTTAACCTCTTTTTTGCAGGGCTCTTAGCTCATGCCCGGCTTTCTACTTAGCATGTGTTTTTGTGCCCTCAGAGATGCATAAAAGGTTGAAACAAGTAAAATTTTAATTTGTACTGCAAAGCAATATAGCTTGATTTAAGCAGTAATGGTTAAGGTGAGAGTAAAACGGCTGGCAGACTACAACCATCAGCAAGTGCTTGAGCAGTTTAAGTAAGGAAGATCATTAAGTGAGAGAAGACAATTGGTGTCACTCAAGGGGTAATACGTCTATTTAAGTTTGATATTTTTTTTTCCTACTTTCTGTGGCATCACTCTCTCTGTAATGAAAGGTTTCACTAGCATCCCCAAACTCATTCATAAAGAGTAAAAGTAATTTCTTGAGAGTTCACAACTGGGCATGTTAATTAACTTAAAAATATGTTTTCGAAGTGAGCCTGTGTCAATATGATCTAGTGTCAAACCTTTCTTTTCCGTAACGGTTGTAAGAGTGCAGATTTATGAGAATTAAAGCTCAGTGAAAGCTTGTACACCAGCCTTGCTCTTAGAAAGGTCACTTGTGATGATGTCTCTTCGCATGCTTCACAAATAAACACCTTCCATCTCTGCTGGTGAAGAGGTCTCATTCAGAGAACTCATGGGAGAACTGCCCCTGTCCAAAATGACCACCATCTCCAGTGGTCTTCAGTGCACTGGAGACCGTCCCCGCCCTCAGTCGTTTTGTGAAGGGAGCGTAGATGGATCTCTCTCTGGACCACAAGGTCTGCAAAGGAGGGAAACCCTCTGTCCAGCTGGTACAGCTGGAGAAACTGAGCCAGCTGTTGAGCCTGCAAGCCCTTCTGGTCTGAAATAGATGCAGAAGTCTTCAAAGGAACTTGGAGCACCTGCTCTCAGATCAAGCAGGTGTGTTTGGTTTTGACCATTTAACAAGAAGATAGCTTGGCAACGCTATTTCTGTGTGTTGTGTTTAATTGAGGCACCTTGAGACGAAGCTCTCCACCCTTCAGCAGTCTGATGCAAATTTCGGGAAGGCGGGTGGTTGTGCCCCTCCTGCCTGGCACGAGGGAGGAACTGTGGAGAATTTGGTTCTGGAGCAGGTATTGCTGCTGCTGAGAGGCCTGCACTGCTTCTTCCTCATGCGTCCTGGGGAATAACCTGTGTTGTCTCCTGTGGGTTCAGGCTTGGCAGGGAGAAGTTTTAAAAAAAGTGCTGGTGGTGGCAGACCAAAGTACATATGTGGTCTCAAAGCCCAACTTCTGCACCTCCGATGAAAATGCTGCAGGGATGTAATGGCAAAAGGAGGTGTGATGCATTGAATATTAAAGGCAAAAGGAGGTGTGATGCATTGAATATTAAATTTTGATTTGATAGCAAGGGTCTTTAGAATATTCTGTATGTTCCTGGTCTAAAGGGCTTTTAAATTAACATATTTTTTGAATATTCAGGATATGAGCAGGGATAGCTGAAAGGTGCCCATTTTGCGTTCCACTTTAGTTCATGCTAACATGGACTTTGCTAGAGTAAAGAACTGTTCATAAAGTACTGTTTTGAAGGGAATTTGATATGACAATGTGGAACTGGGAAGTTTAATCTTGCGTTACTGCAGATCGGAGCTAAAAAGCCTTTTTTTGACCCTAGTTACAATATTGCTCTGTTGACTTCCATTGTTGCCAGCTGCGGAAGCGCGCTCGTGGTTGAAATGGGACTATGAAATCGCCTTTTAGTATGTCAGATCTCAGTCTCAACAGCAAAGTGAAAACTATGGAGTTGTAGGCTAGTTCTGAAAAGCTACCATTTACTGGCCTCCCATGTGTATGTCAAGCAGTTGGCAACAAGATTTTGCCACCTGTCTGTCCACTGGCCAATTCCCTGTGAGAAATTTTTCAGATTTTTCTGACCTCTTGCCGAAGGGAGGCAGCAATGGCATGGCAAGGTCTAAGCGTATTTAGAATGTAAAAATTAACAAAATGGTATAAATGTTTGAATCGAAGTCTTCACCTTTCTGTAAGGGAAGATTTGATCAGGAACATTTCCATTTGTTTGGGGTTTTGTTTTTATTTTTTTCATTACTGAATTTGTTCACCTTGGAGCTCTTGAACCCCAAAGATGTTTGGATGGGATTCTCTGAGCAGTCTGGTGTAGTCTTAGCCCTCAGATGACAAATCTCTCAATATAAGCCTTATTTAAAACACAAATATGCTACTTAGAGAATAAATCAGAAATCTCGAATAATATCAGTAATTTCCATCAAACAATTTACTGAGAAATACCAACAACTACAAATAGAAGCTTTTTTTTTGTCTGATGAATCTTTTTATTATTAAACTAAGTGGGGATGGAGAGGGTGCTAAGTGTGCAAACAGAAGAAAAGACATGAAGCAGAACTTAAGACTGAAAGAAGTTACAGGAGCATTGCTAAATCCCTTCCACTGGCAATCCCTCAACAGCCAATCTCTAAATAGCAACTTTGTCTCTGTTAAATGTATAGGTTTGTTTTACAAGAAATGAGTGTTTTTTAAAGTGTACAGCCCTAGGCATTTCACACTTTAATGCTCTGCAAACCGCATATAGGTGTAAAGCCATAAATAGCAAACACGGTGTCCTCTATCTATGCTAGGTTGGACAAAGCAGCTTAACCTTGTGGTCTCTGCTTGGGAAGCAAGGGAGCAGCAATTGCAAAATACTTAAGAATATCTCTTTTCTCCACTAGTAAGAAATGGTAATGTCACCTTGATTCAGAGCTGTGCGGGACCCTTTCCTGCGTCTTGTAAAAGGACCTTGCCAAGGCGCCTTCGGTGCGCGAGGGACGGAGCTAAGTGAGATGCGTTGAGACAGCGGCGCGGGGGAGGCGTACAAACAATGCTTCCGTCCTGTGGGAGACCTAATGCAACACCAGAGCTTAGCATGGGGGTGGTTGATTCCCTTCCCCCTCTGACCCCCCCCCCAAATTTTCTGGGAGTCCACAGTTTGCTTCCACGTTCTTTTAATGATTTTTTTCCCCCCTTTTTGAAATTTAATTATGTTCAGTTTAGCAAGGCGCCGAGCTTAGCACTCTGGAAGTGCGTGCTGCTGCCCGGTGTTGAACGATTGCAGGAGTGCTGCTACCAGAATTAGTTCTTTTTTTTCCCCTTTTTAGTATGGCTTCAAAGGAAATGAAGCTTATGCAATGTCACTGTCTGTCAGGCTGGTTTGCCAGGTGCACTCGAGTGTGACCGATACCAGCTGTAACAAGGTTTGGCAAGTTATGAAGTAGAGAGTGAAAGTCCTGTTGACGTTCCCACTGAGGGGGAAAAACTGCAAGAGGAGCTCAGTCCTTATTTGGCACGTGGGATTCAACACCGCAGCTTCACCTCGAGATACGAAGCACAGAAAAATTAGTTGTAAACGCTCTGGTGAATAGATGCAGTTTTCTCTCCCTGAAAAGTCTCCTCTGCGTGGAAGGTTTGTGCAGTGGGGCTTTTCAGCAGCTCGTTCTGCGACCCGCTGCTCTTGGAGCGTCGCTCTTCGTCCTCGTGCTCCAGCCTCGCGCCAGGCTTGCAGCACTTCCCCTTTTGGGAAGGGCTCTTGCTGCTCTCGGGTGCTGCTTCTCTTATACGTGCTCTGTCCCTAAGCACAAGGGCTCTGCTGCAGGCATCGTCGGGACGTTCGCCCCTGTTAGGCGAGGCGAGATGTTGAGCATAAAGCTGACGGAGCGCTTGCACCTAAAACTATTTTCCGTGTGCTCAGCAGCAGCGGGGATGCTGCGGCAGGACGCGTGCAGTTCTCGCGAGGCCAGACAAAGACCGGTGTGCGACATTCGCTGGTTCGTGCCGCAACCCAGATCCGTGTGCCCTTGCAGTAGCTTCAACTCCATTTTTTGGAGGGGTGCCTGGCATAGGGCACTGTGAAAACACTGAATGATTGCACAGGGGAGAGGTGCTTATGTGGAGAGGAGGTAACGAGGCGCCCAAGCTTCGTAATCTTTTGCCAAAGATCTGCCAGCCGCTGCTGAATTGCAAGTTTTGCATTACCTCAGACCTATCTGGTTTTACGGGCAGGATACTGTGTTGCAGTTTGGCACATCACAGGGGCAGGAAGATAGCCTCAACCACAATCAGCGTCTTACAAACACGTAGAGTAACCAGGATATTTGTTCCTCCTCACCTTCCTCTCCCAGCACCTCGTGCTTAGGGCTGGGCCCTTCCATGCAGGGTGTCAGAACGTGTGTGTGTGTGTTTTCTTAAATTATTTTCTGTGTATATTTCAATGCACAATATATTGTATAATACTCAGGTCACATAACATCAATTTATTCACATTTCTAATTCCCTTTTTCTCTACGTATGCTCTAACGCTTTCCTGCAGGCGTACGTGGATCCGTCTTGTCTTTAATCTTCTGACATCTGGCTCTACTTTCCTTTTCTGTCCTGCTGCTCTGCTTTTAATTTCTTCGTTAGAATAAGGCAGCCCACAGCAGAGTCCCTGCAGCCCAGCTCCTTGCCCGTTTTTCCGATGCCACGTAAACCAGGGGTACGTGAGGACCTTGCTAATCCAGGCGGCTTGCTTAGCAGTGTGCTTCCCCAGCCACTGTGGTAATTGTTTTGTTATAGATGGTATACGAGTAAACAACTAAACTAAAATCCTCATTTCCAATAAAAATTTAACAGTGCAGTTAAAGCAGAAATGCTTGAAACAGCAGCAATCACCTGTGGGAATAAGGACTTTTATCAAAAGGCGAAATAGCCTCCAAATCTTCAAGTTAACAAATTTTCATCACAATAAAATGACTTTCCACGTCCCTTACGTATGAGTGATGTAGCAGAGGCCGAGCAAGTGCCTTGGCCCGAATTTGACACAGGCTCGCAGCTGTCACTGGAGACGCATCTGCTCTCCAGGAGCTGCCTTGAGCTTTGGGGGGTTTGGGGGGGGCCTGCAGGAACAGAGTGAAAGAAGAAATCCTCCCCCCTTCCACTTTCCATATAATGCCGTGATTAGGAAATGTCTCTAATTGGCTTAATAATATCCCAGGGCTTCACAGTTTGGCTGGTGCTCGGTGCCTCGTTCACAGTGGTGCCTTTGTGCAAGAGCCACCCGCCTGCAAGGCGTCCTGCAGCATGCTAACCTCGGTCCCCTTAGGCTGGTCAAGGGTATCCTAATGCTCCACGTATTGTGAGATTAAAAAAGTAGAGTTCTGCGATGGGGTGTGGACTCACTAATGTTTTCGGGTGTGCTGCTGGCGTTAGGGCAGGGCCCAGGGCAACGCGTGGCTGGGATGTGTCTGATCCACTTTGAAACCGCACCGAGGGCTCGGTTGCTGCTGGTGGTGCGAGATTGCGATGCAAAGCACTGCCACCACATCCCTCCTCACGCTGCACATGCCTCGCTTGGATAACCAAATCTGAACTTAAAGTACAAGCATGAAACAAATAGCACATTTATTCCAGGTCATGCGTGACCTTTTTTATTGGGCCTGGGCTGTGAACCTAGATGGTGTCAGCTGTCTTCCTCTAACAGCTTGCTTGGTTCCAAACTCGATCAAGCTTGGCTAGATAAAACACTGCTGGACTGCTACCTTTTGTGTATGCGTGTTTTCTTGTTTTTGTTTTTTGTTTTTAGCCTATTTTGCACTGCAGGTGATCTATGCCAGGCGGAAGTACAAGATCTCTCCTCCGGAGACAAGAGGCCACCCTGAATTTGAGCGGATCTTCAGAGCTCAGTAAGGTTTTGACTTGGTGATTATGGTGATTACATCTAGGTATGACTTGAGTGAAATGCTGTTGCTTCCAGGAAAGGCTGAGGGAGATCACCTTTTCACTTACTGCTGCTGGTACTAGGGTTTGGGTTTTTTTTAATGCTTTGACTGCAAATGTAAAAGTACGAAAGCTTGAAGGCGTGCGCTGTACATGGGCTGACTGTGATGCGGATTGCTGAGGCTGAGCTTTTTGCTTTGGCTAGAGAGTCTCAGTTTTGCCCAGCAACGATGATATTTGCTCTGGCATTACGTGAGGCAGACAAATTAAAAATTAGTAGACATATGGAAGACGCAGTAAAGGTGCTTAGCATTAATGCAGTAGACTCATTAAGTAGCTTTAACGGCAACGGTGGCTCCAAAGTGTGAGAACAGCTGAAGTTGCGTTAATACCTTGATATTTGCTTGTACAGATTTGCTGTTGAATTGAAGCAAAGGGCCTTGCTGGCCAAACCAATTATGAGGACTTTTTTCTGTTTTTTCTCCCCACTGTAATGTGAAAGGCAGCACTGGTGAGCCCCTGCTGAGGGCTGATGCTTTTTGCTTTGCTCTTATGGAGATAGAAACGCTCGAGCTGAACGGGGAAGGGTTTGCAGATCCCTGGGGCTTCCAGCAAGCCCCGAGGTCCATCGTTTGTCTCGGTCATGCTGGTTCATCAGCAGTCGAAAGATACAGGTTGGAGCTGGTTTGAACGGTAGTTCAAACGCAGCAGTAAATTCTGAGCAAAGCAGATGCTTTTCCTTGCCGGCATACAGCAAACGGTTGCGGAGTGGCAAAAATATTCACTTTGGTCCTTGTATGAGGCAGCAAAAGGCCAACCTGCATGGGAGGCATCAGCCTTTTCTCGATGGGTAGCTGTTGGTGCTGCTCTTAATTGAATGCAATCGACTATGTTTGTGCTGGGAGATGCAGCCCTAGGCAGCTCTCCGTCATGTTCTGGGGAGGAGATGACCCCAGAGGGCTTGGGCTGGAGAAGGGTATTTCTTTTTGTTTTGTCTTTCTCCTCCCTTTCCCCTGTGGAAAAGGATGCGGATGGATCATTTGTTTTGATAGACTTGGGGGGAAAAAAAAAAAAGAAAGAAAGAGAAGAAAAGGGGGTGGAAAAAAGTATTGATTTATTACTTATGGAAATGCGGCAGCCTCGCTGAGGCTCTAACTGCACTTGCAGCGTAACAGTCTTCAAACTTTTCCCAGCTCCCAATCTGGCCTGGCTCCCTGAGGCTAAATGACTTTTTTTGGAGGGGGCCAAATTTAAGATAAATTCTCTAGGGAAATGTAAAACATAGGAGAATTTGAGAAGCAAGAGCACTGTGTCTTTAGCAGCGCAGCTCCCAACACACACCCATCCTCTTCCTTGCAGAAAAAACATCTGTATTTGTTGTCACTCAACAAAAAAGAAGGAAAGAGAGAGAGCGTGGCAGCAGCCCCGGTCTCCTTCTGCTGAGTGAGGTCTGGTGGGACCCTCCTGCTTTGAGCACGTGCCTTCTGTGTCCTACCAAAATCTGGCTTGTGCTCAGCAAAGGGCAACAGAAGGTGCCTGAAATGCTTTTAGGGAAGCTCTCCCCGGGCCGGCGGTGGTGGGCGCTCCGGCCGGGCCGCGACGGGGCCCCAGCGCGGCTCCAGCTCCGGCCCCGCAGCTCCCAGCAGGAGCCAAAACCCCGTTTGCACCGCGGTTCGTAGCTGGAGCGTCGCTGTGACTTTGGGGTGAGGCAAACGCTGTCAGTGCTTTGGGTTTTCTTTTACCGTAAAATACGGTGGGTATCGGTTGGCCTCGGTTACAGAAAAGGCTTTTTCTCCCCAGCGCGGTGCCGCTAAGTGACGCGTTCGGTTTGCTCCAGCGTAGTTTTAGTCTGAGCTCCCCCCTTAGCTCGGTTAACCCCTCTCTCTAGCGCTCGGCGACGCGCTTTTAACTCTTTATTTCTGGTTCTCGCTAGGGTGAATTGCTCCGAATACTTCCCCATCTTCATCTCGCTCCTCTGGGTGGCTGGTATCTTCTTCCACCAAGGTAAGGCGGAGGGAAAAAAACAAAAAAGCAAAACCCCCAAACCCCTCACAAACCAGGAGACTCAAATTTAAACCCCACTGTGGCACAGACGCCCCCCACCTCCCTCGCATCCACGCGGCTGCCCCCTGCCCAAAGCCGCGTCCGGGGGGCACCCGGGCTGGCTGCGACCCTGTGCGTCGTGCGCGGCCGGATGCGAGGCGGCTTCGGGGGCTCGGGCTGCCTGTGCGGCGAGGAAGGGCCTCGGAAGCGCGGGCTGGCACCCCCCAG